CCGGCTGAACCTTCCTCCTCCAGCAGGCCCTACCCACCAGCCTTCCCACACCTTGCCTCTGCCAGGAGCAGTTCCTGCCCTCCTGGGAGGAGAAGGGATGCTGCCAACCGCTGCAGAGAATCCAGTTTTCCCCCTCCCTGTGAGGTGGTCCATGGGTTTGTTCTTTTAATTTGCAGCTTCTATAAATAACTGCCTGAGAACTGTGGGTACTTTTGCCTATTTTTACTGCCTGCCACGTTGGCAAGGGTTAAATGGATCAGAGAGGAGATTATTCTCCCGAGTGTTTCTCATTCAAAACTGCACTGTTCTGGATCCAGTGTTGGGAGGTTCTCACTTGTACTGTTCTGGGGTCTACCCAGTAGTGCTGATACTGTTGGTACTGGAAAGAGCTGACTGCTTCAGAGAAAGTTCAGATTGCTTCTTTCTAGTTGCTTTCATTTCCAGTTTGGACTGTGGTGAGGGGTCTGTGGAGGCAGCAGGGCTAACTTGCCTAAATGCCTGCAAAGAGTATCTGCCTAAGTTAATCTCTCAAAAGTAGTAGAAGATTCTTTTCCTGTTCTTTCCTTACTAGAGAAGCTTTTAGAGGTTTTCCCCTTTTAGGGTACCTGTGGTGTAAACCTAGAGAATGCTACACTGAACAATCTTTAAGACAAATCTTCACACAGAAACTAATCCCTGGAAACACTCGAAAGCCACATCCTGTGTCTGAACTCCTGGTTCTTTGATTTTGGTGGGGACAGTCTGCCTCTGAGAGTGGATTGAGAATTGACTAGCCAGCTGCCAGGCGTGAGCTCACGTTGTGTTTTGGGAGCTTTACTCTCAGCTGGGGAATGCTGCTGCTGTAGCTGTGTATTTAACAAACCAGCTGGTAGGCAATGTATTCCTCTTAGTTATGAAGGAGAACTGAAAACTTGAGTTGGTCTCTAAATTTTGACCTATTTATAGTGATTGTGTTCAAAATGATATTTTTCTTTCCTCTCTTGTTCCTGTTTAGTAGAGCAAGTGAAAATGAAACTAACTTTCTGCTTTCCAGCATAAATAATGTGCCTAATGACTATCCATGAAGGGACAACTTCTGAAATAAATGGAAGAAGGGTCATGCTGCACCTGATAGTTACTTCAGGTTTTGAGACAGATCTTTGGTAACCAAAAAAGAGGGGGGGGGAGGGGAAAAATCAGTCAGCTCCCTAATCTAAGGTTAGACTTCATTAAAGTGTGTCCCTTCCTCGTGCTTGGTGGAGGTGTCAGTGCCAGTGGGTGGTGTGGTACAGAAGCTGCAGTTGCCATGGCTGTAAGAGGATTTCCTGCAGGCGTTGGAGACCCAGCATCTGAGGAGTGGGTGCTGTAGTCTCTGAAGAGCTTGGCTGGGGCCGAGGGGGGACGTTTTGCAGAAATTAACTGTTTAGATACAGAAGAGTTCCAGTCTGCAGACTGGGTTCCTCTGGGCTGGGTGGGACTCCTCCCTGTCTCTCCCAGGTTTACCACCTGGCCAGCGTGCGTCTGCGGGACCTGTGCCTGAGGCTGGACGTGTCCAATGACCTGCGCAGGAAGATCTGGACCTGCTTTGAGTTCACCTTGGTTCACTGTGCTGATCTGATGAAGGACAGGCATTTGGACCAGCTCCTCCTCTGTGCCTTTTATATCATGGCAAAGGTAACAGTGTTTTAAAATTCAGGGGATTCTGTGTCCACGGAATATGTGAGTTGTGGTGACAGTTTATAATTCGTTTGCTGTACTCATGCTCTGGAGGGAAGGGAGAAGTCCTTCCAAGAAGCACTTTCTTGTTTCCTTGTTTTGCATTGTATCATTTTTTCCTTGTTTTGCATTGTATCATTTTTTCCTTGTTTTGCATTGTATCAGTAGTTCCATCAACCAGCCAGCTGGTTAAGAGAGGACTTTGCTTTTCTTCCCAAGTGAGCACAGCTCAGCACAGCCAAAGCAGCGTGTGGCCTCATTGCCCCAGAGCTGTCTCTGTCCTGTTCATCTTCCTGATCTGTGTAATCTGAACTAAAAACACCACTGCAGTTACAGAACTGTGCATGTGCAGACCTCTGCAGGAGCTCACAACCCGATAGATGGAAAGCTGCTCTTCCACAAAAATCCTTATAGCTCTTGCAGATTCAGGTTGAGGAATTGAACTGGTTGCCTGTTAGTCATGCTTCATTTCCTGCCCAATTTGCCAGCATTGATCTAAGGTGCTACTCAGTTTGATGATGGAACTGGGTATTGGTTTGACTCGACCTGAGAGCCGATGGTTACAGTGGCCACCGAGTCCCATACAGACACAAATTCAGGGAAGTGAAAGTAAGCCCAGGCTCCTCTAAAGCATTTTGGATGGATTACCTTTTCTTGAGGAAGATGAGTGAAGAGGAGTGCTGTGTGTGGAAGGAAACTGAGGTCTGGGTTGTGGCTACCTGTGCTCTCTAACCGCAGCACAGCTTAGGCTCGTGTGGCACCAGTACTGACAGCTGTGGAAAGCCACACCACTGAGCAGTCAGTGCTCTGCACTCTGTCGTGGCAGCTGTTTCACTGGGTTCTGCTGAATACAGACTGTGTCTCCAGTGCAGTGTGAGACCTGGCCATTTAGCCAGAGACCTCAGTACATTCTCTCCTGGCTCCTACTACAAACGTTGTTGCTCATCTGCTACTAAAGTTACAGACGTGTGGCTGAAAAAACAAGGCCTTTAACAAAGGAAGTATTTTGAAGTACAGAAGAGAGCTGAAATTGCATCTGTGTATGTGCCTGCCTAGTGTGTTGTTCAGGATTTCCTCACTTCCTGTTTAGAAAAGTCAAGGGGCCCAGTTTTCAAATTTACAAATACATTTTTGACTTAACATTTCCCTTCTTTAATTATTACTGTCGTTAGAAGATAAGTCAGAGAAGGAATAATTCCTAGGCATCATAGGCAAAAGTCTGCAGTAGCTAAGAAACAAGGCCTGGACAAGGGAAACACTTTGGGTTTGGATTTACTCATCACCAGAACTAAGTTTTAAAGCTACACCTTCATGGGAATCCTGATGGAGAAGTTCTGCAGAGGGAAGCTAATTGAATAGACAGGACCTGAGCAGCCTGACCTTGCTGTTCTTGCCCTCCCATAACCTGCTTGTTTGTTTTTCCCTCCAGGTATCCAAAGAGGAGAGAACGTTTCAGGACATAATGAGAAGTTACAGAAATCAGCCACAAGCAAACAGCCACGTGAGTAAATCACACTGCCTTTCCTTTTGAAAAATCCCAGCTAGAGGTGGCATTTCAAAAGGTCATGCTGGTGAGGGGCAAGCCAGAGCCTCTGCAGTGTTACATTCAGTCTTACTCTGATGAATTTTATCCAGTCTTCTGGCTTGATTTGCTTGACATGGGTGTTTTTTTTTCCTGGTGTCCTGTAGGTCTATAGGAGTGTCTTGCTGAGGAGTACTTCTTCTGATGTCCCGTTGGACCAAAATGCAAACCAAGATGTGGAGATGACAGAAGGCGAGTACAGCCAAGTAACCTGCTGTTCTTAAAACTGCTTTTATGGCTTTTAAAGAACTAAACTGTCAAGTAATAAGGAGAAGTGAAAATTTTTCAGTTTTAAATGTATTAAAGAAAAAGAAATGTATTGGTGAAAAAGACACTGTCTTGTCAACAGCCTGTCAGTACCACACTTGTCAGTGTGCTAGATGTGGGAAATCACATCCTGGTTGGAAAAAATGTTTTGGTTTTTTTTCCCCTTTAGTTTTGTTGCTAGAGGTTAAAGTGTTTCCTTAGCATGTCAGTGACACTGGACAGCAACAGTTAACAGAGAAAGATAAACAAAACCTGGCATATTATGGCAGGGTTTCTTTCTTACTGTCACCTCTCCTGAAGCCTTAAATAGGGAGAACTTGTTTCAGAAAATAATAATGGTGGTCTTAGAGAGTCATTTTTATTACATTCAGGTTTCCTTGAAATAGTTGATATTTTGGTTGCTCTTGGTTAGAGGAGAAAAGGGATAAGTGTAGTATTTGAGAAGAGCATGAAAATTATGCCATGCCCTTTTTTAGTGATGTATCAGCAAACAGAGAACTCACAGGCCCATGTATGAACCCCTGAGCAGAGCAGACCTGCAGCCAGGACACACAGATGTAGAAGACATGGTGAATTCCCACTGTGGGTGGGATTCCACTGTTTGAAGGAGCATTGGAGCCATTCTTTAAATGCCTTTGAGAACTCCACTGGGATCCAGGGAAGGGCTGAGCTCTTGTAGGTTCAGCCTCCTGTCCTCCAGCTCCACAATACTTCGGTGTCATGCAGGATCTGAACTGGCACTGGGCTCCAGTGTTTTGTCCAACAAATGTACTCGGTTACCAAGTTTTCCAGTTGCTTTACCTTCCAGACCTTTTCTTCACATAATGGACTCGTGCCTCCTTTATCTAGTATTGATTCCTGCTTTGTTGACACTAGCTTACAGGACCAAGTGCTTGTGTTGTGACATGAGGCACATACACCAAATTGTCACAGTTAACAGGTGTCAGCTGAAGCTTTTGGTGTCTCATAGTGCAGTGGTGGTGAGACTTTATTCTGTGTTGCCCTGCTTTGCTTGGCAGTAAGCAGTGCAGAGGATGAAGGTTGTGCTCAGTAGCAGCTCAGCTTAGTCAGGGGAGAGGGAATGTTGACAGAATGTACTTGCTGTGTGGCTGCAAACGACTTTGTACCACTCCCCAGAACAAGCAAGGGAGGAGGGGTCAGTTGTGCTACAGGTCTTCCTACAGCTGTTTCCCAGTTTGGCAGAAAGATCTAGGTTGGCCTCTTTAGCCATAATCCCCTCGCCTGCTAGCAGTGATTTGTAGCTGCTCCTCAGCCCATAGCCACCTGCAGCACAGCCTGCTCCTCTCTGAAGCACCTTTCTTCCTCTCAGCTAGTCGCTTTGTGGGCGAGTTAGATGCTGCAGGCTTGAATCTGAAGCATCCAGTTTGCTGATGATGTGTTTCTGAAATCTGAAGCTGTCTCTTATTGTTAGACTGGTCTGTGAAAACTGGCACTTCCTCGGGAAGACCTGCAGCAGAGAACTCCAGTGAGCTGGGAACAGAGGAGAGAGGAGATCTCATTAAGTTTTACAACACAGTCTATGTAGAAAGAGTAAGATCCTTTGCACTGAAGTACGACATCACAAACCAGGATCACGTGGTAAGTAAAGTATTTGGGAATTTTGCTCTATCTAATAATTGGACACAAAGTCATTTCTCCTGACAGTTAAACACATGTGAATTTTGTTCTGTTACTCACCTTGTGCTTACAGAAGTCAAAGTTGTAGGTAATGGTACAAGGATCTGCTTTAACAGCCTTTTAAGAGGACAAATGCAGATTCAGTTCAGTTTACAACCCTGGTCTCAGCTTCTTGATGTCGACACAACACCCATTTGCTCAAATGGCCGTGGAGCATCTGTTCTGTGGTGGATACTTGCTCTGCTGTTTAACTGTCAGGGGTTAAAAGCTTCCACAGAAGACCTGGAAGTGTATTGACCTTTCCTTCTGTGGCGTTACCTCTCAGAAGCATCTTCTGGCTCAGTCCCCGTGCCCTTGTCCCCGTGCAGGTGGAGGCGCCGCCGCTGTCGCCGTTCCCCAGCGTCCGGCCGCAGGCGGGGTCCCCCCGGCGGGTCTCCCAGCAGCACTCCGTGTACGTCTCGCCCCACAAGAACGGCGCCTGCCTGACGCCCCGCTCAGCACTGCTCTACAGGTTCCACGGCAGCCCTTCCAAGGGGCGGGGGCTGGGGGGGGGCTACAGGTTCCACGGCAGCCCTTCCAAGGTGAGGGGGCTGGGCGTGGGAGGGGGTGAGTCAGTCTCCTGGCTGGGGTGTGTTGTGATGCAGTGAGGTGGCGCTTCGGTGTCTCAGTTTGCAGTGAACGGTAGAATTCTCTATACAGAGTCCACTCACCCAGCAAAGGGGTTCAGAGTAACACTTTGGTTTTGGATGACTGAAAACCAGAGCAAGTTTGAAATGGAGTCGAAGTAACTCACTATTTTTTTTTATCTTGACTGCAGAGTTTGAAGGACATCAACAATATGATAAAACAAGGTGAACACAGGAGTAAGAAGCGAGCAATAACAATTGATAGTGACACTGAGTCCCCCACAAAGCGACTCTGCCAGGAAAACGATGACATTCTACTCAAACGTCTCCAGGATGTCGTCAGTGAAAGAGCAAACCATTAGAACTGCCTGTCTGCAGTGGGGCCTGAAAGCTACGGACTTGGGGACAGCTGTTGTGCTATTTATTTCTCATTTTTGTGTTCAGACAACTGCCAGGTTTCTTTAACATTGAACTTTTACCTGACTTCCACAGGCTGCAGAAAGCAGGCGCTGAGCTGCACGTGCCAGAGGGTGGGAGGTGGTGATGGTCTTGGTTCCCAGAGGCCACGCTGTGCTCTAAGTTACACTGCTTGTGCTGTTCTGGCAAAAGAACTTTCTTTCTGTGGAAAGCCATATGGGCTGTTCTCAAGCCCAGTTTAGAGCATCATGAGTTCTGAGCGTAACTCAGCTTCTAATAACATTGGTTTTATTTCTGGACCAAGAGCGAGATGAAAATGAGCAAAGTCCGTTAAATTTCCTCAAGCTTTTGGTATTTGGGGAAGAAGCTTCAGAAGTGCCTTGTTTAATCAGAATGTGGAGTTTGACACGTTACTGATGCACCTCAGAGTAGCTGGCGTGGTGAGTGAGCCCATCCCTCCAGCCCAGGAATTGCTGAGCAGTTCTGGCACAGGACTCGGCTGGGAGCGGGTGCTCGGGCCAGGGGGAGCGGGCGGCTGGGCGGCCCCCATGGCTGCCCTGGGGGGCACAGGGAGCCAT